ATACATGTAAAAGCAAGAAGTACGCAGTGTAGTAGACAAATAATTCCAAATCATACAGCAGCGTGATTGGGTGACATTAAAGAAAATTGCACTATGCCAGAGGTATATCTTCATCACTCTCCCGATGGTCATGGTGGCTACGCACGCTCAGCAGGCTGCCGTGGCCAGTTCGTGGTGGCACGTCAGATCCACGTGGCGGGGGTCTTACCCTAGCATAGGGGTTGCTGGATCTGTGCATGTCGGGTCGATAGTGGCCGCGTTCAGTTGACGTGGACTGTCCCACAGGCCACAGGCTAGCAGTGGCATGTCGACCCGGTTTTGGCACATTCGAGCAGATCTCGCTGTGTGCACATTTGTAACCACACAATACCACACACTAAATTTTTTTTGTCATCAAATTTTCTCAACTTGATTCCACGTTCTTGACATCGTCTTAATTTTATGCTTCCTAGCCCTGTCAACCTTCTCATAAAATCAAATCAATCTAACCTTACCTTGATACCACTTATTAGAATCTAATATCCTAGTTATGCATAACAGTCCGCAGATCTATGAAACATACTGCGGGTATGACACAAGCTTGCACCGCAGATGACGATGTTGAAGCAATCACAACAAGATATTATGATTTTGGTAAATTCTATAAACACAACTCCAAAAGAGTACAGGTGATTGTCATTCTCTCACAACCCTACTTAACCCTCTAGGGTTCATTGATTCTTGCCATATACAAGAATCTAGTGTAATAGAACTATCTAGCCTAATTTTCTTGAGCGCTCCTAATTGCTTCTTCCAAACCTTGGACGATGATACCTATGGCCTCCACCCCTTGTTTATATACCTTGTTTGTATAGGATTCTACACTCAAGTCCACTTCAAAGCCCCCATACATACAAGTAGGAGTCCTACTGTTAGTAGGATTCTACACTTAAGTCCTAATAGGATTAGAAGTCCTAATAGCACACCACTCGAGTCCTATTACAAGTAAGATCTGAATCACTATACAACAAACCTCGTGATCCAACAGCACGCCCCGTGCATACTAATATCCACCTAACTTTTTCCTTTTCTCCACCAAGTCAAGCAAGCCAAATCTACTCTCCATCCCTGGCAAGGCGAGGCGAACGAATTGCCAGAAGATGTCATCCCATGTAATAATGTCAACAGATACACCACCCATCACCTCTCTTAATCAGCACAAGGCTACCACCACTACCAAGAGAGCCCAACTAGATGACCAAACATCATGGACACGGACCACTATGACCTACCCAAGATAAGATACACTATATGAGCACCATACCAGCCCATGAGGCGATGCCAGTGAAAACATGGCTCGCCAAGCACTAACCAAGGAATCTGACCATGTCATGAGTCACTGTTGTCATGTCTGTGGTGTCAAAGGAAGATGAGGAGGGATAGCCATCCACCAATGCTACACACCTCCCTGCGCCCCATAGCGCTAGGATGCGAAGGCTGGGAAGAGGAGGTCATAACCAAGAGCCCTGGCTCCATCCATCGTCACACCCCCAACCATGCATATTGCGTTTCAGTGGTCACCACCACGAGCGGCAACTCGGTGGCTGCTACCAAACCTTAACACCATGGGACACCTCCTGCTTTAAAAAAAAAAGGGGCAGACCCAGTGCCGGAGGCTCCCACATGAGTGGGGTCTGGGGAAGGGAAAAACCGAGGCAAGCCTTCCCCCCGCAAAATCTGCGGAGAGGCTGCTTCGAACCCGTGACCTGGTGACTCAATGAGACAGCTCTCACCACTGCACCAGGCCTGCCCTTCAGACACCACCTGCTTTGCACTGAAGAAACATTGCTTGTCTTTAGACCCACATGGATCCAACCAATGGCAATATGCCTTGATCCAATTGCAAGTTAGGGGAGAGAAGGAGAGGAGAGGAAACGCGGATGATGACCACTGCCACCACCTTTGCCATCATTGGCTAGGCGTTGTGGCAGCCTCTGCATTGCCTGCGCTGTGGAGGGGGCATAAGTGGTGCCAGCAATAGCACCTCCATTGTCGCCTCTAAAGACGGTGTTGGGGAGGGTGTGTGTAAGGATACAAATGGTAACTTCAAGCCACATATGTGTTTCAATCATTCTTTTGTTGCCAAATCAGTTCATAGGTTGGTTAAATGTTGTTAGAAATATGCTACTAAGCAAAAGTCCCCACATTAATGACTGAGACTCAAAAGAGATGCTTAAGTAAGTAAAACTACTAAATATGGAACTCCTCAAAGAGGACTTGCCTAAATAAGTTCAACCATATGCCCGTATATAGTGTTTTTGAGTAACCAAGTTTCCCCTAAATTTGTAAAGTGTCAAATATGCCCTCAAGAAGGATAACATCCAAAATGAAAATGAAAGTGAGATTTTGGACATGGATAAATCTTAAGTGATTTGATAAAATTGTTCTTACACTTTTTATGTTAGGGTGGTCCTTGTGTCCTGTCACCATCTGCATGATTATAACACCCAAACTGTATATGTCACATTTTAAGCTGACTGCTCCTTCTTCATGATATTCTGGTGCCATATAGTCCCTACACGAAAATTAACAATGAATAAATAGGGATCTAGAGAATAAACTCAGATGATCTTTAGGAAAACAATGGAGTATTTATTCAACATATAATTAGCTTACAGCAATGTAACAATTTCTTTAGTTGCAGTTCGCCTATCTTCACCCAACAATCTTGAATAAGCATAGTCCGTTATTTTTGGCACCATGTTAGCATCAAGTAGTATATTCTCTGGTTTGAGGTGCAAATGGACAATACAATTTGCATGAAGATAATCCAAGCCCTGACATATTCCTTTCATTATTTGATAGCGTGTGTGCCATTCAAACCCACAGGATTCTTCTGCATAAGTAAAGATAATTCTTAGAACGTGGTGTCTTCTTTGCCATCAGCAAAAGCAAGTCCTAATACCCACGAACACTATCTAACAATAGTTGATCTTTAAATTTTAGTTTTTGATCGCATTATGCTTATTTCACAGATGAAATGAGTTCTGTAATCCTGCTGAACTAAACCTTTTGTTTAATAGGTAAGACCGAAATCAACTACATCTCATTATTATCAATACCAATAATAATTCTGAACTAATATGCATACCAGTAATGTGCCTACTGAGGCTTCCATTGTGCAGATACTCAAAGCACAGCAATATATCTTGCTGTTCTATACGCAAGTTTTCCCCCTCCTGTTCTATAGGTTGCGTGTGTGCCCAGAAGCCCAAAAACCGTACTATATTGCTGTGCTTAACTGTCATTAAACAATCAACCACACGAGCCAATTCTCCATCAACAGTTCCACGCGGCCCACATAGTCTTTTCACGGCAACAATTAATCCATCTCCAAGGATTCCCTGTTTATCGACACTTGTGTTAGTATAAGGACAAGTATTTGGGCGAAGCCTTGATACATAATGTTTATCAACTTGTAATTGAGAACTAGAAGCACCTTGTAAACCATCCCAAATCCACCTTGATCAATCTCTTGCTCGGTAGAGAAATTATTTGTGATGTCTTCCAAAAGTGATAAGTCAAGAGTTGTTGGCTCTGCACTTTCATCCCGTAATATGCTTACCAACATATGATGTTCAATATATTCATCTGTCAATTATAGGAAACAAAAGTTATTCTGTAAAATAAGACAACTATGTACGCTTATATTTGGAATACCATCAAAGGAAATTTTTGATACACAAAAGTCACAAGCCATAGGGCCAACTTCGATATAGAACCAATTTCAAAAAAAAAAACTTCGATATAGAACCACATAGTGGAACAGGAGTGCCGGATTGAACAGTGACTTTTGAAATCCTTATCTGACATGCCCTAAAATAGACCTTCACTAACCACAGCACAAGTAAATGTTGTTCAACCTAAGAACATGTGACTGTTCTGTCAAATTTATAACAGATTTTAAATAATAATCAGATTCGAGCAAAAAAAAATGGATATACTGAAACTGATATTTATGTGCCCCTAATGTGCCACTCCTCTGACAAAGCTACCTGATTTATGGTGATATGAAGTCCCAGAAGCTGGTGGAAGATCGAATTCTCTAGATAACCTGGAAAAAAGATAGTCTTAGTCCTTTAAGACATTTTGAGACATGACAAGAAAATTGGCCATGTTTGCCATGGATCACACCTATGTTTTCCAAAAAGGTGTGTGGTCAATGTTTTTTTTTTTAGACGTGTGTGGTCAAATTTTGTGACCCTTAGTTGAAGATTAATCTGCACCAGTTAGTAATGTGGCCACCTCTTGTTGCCAGTATTTTATTGACCCACTGCACTATCAGATCTGCAAACCCCTAAAAACAGATAAAAAAACTAACACGGCCCCCTACCAACTACCGTCCTCCTATTCTGATCCAGTAACCTACAAATCTACAATGAAATCATCATGAACCCTAAAACCTAAACTTGGTAATTGGAGTTTGGCTGGAAAGCTAATGCCATCACTGGAGCATAGATAGAAATCTGATTGGTCATAAATCAACTACTTTACATTTTTGAACCCATAATATAATAGATAGATACAGGAATATTGGATACGAACAAATTAGGGCCTATGTGATGGGAGGAAGGTCATCATCACACTATTCGCACAAATAGTACCTACTGTTCAGTTCCTGCCAGGCTCAAGGTAGGTTGTTAATGTGCCTGGGTGTTGCAGCAGCCCCCAATACATCTTAGAATCGGAATCCGTATTATTGTTGAACGTGAGTTGTTCTAACTTGTATGAGTACGAGTCATGAGCCATGATGGGCGTAAGGGCATTTTGGGAAGTAAAAAAGATGGTTGGAAGGATCCCTTCGCTATTTAATATTAGGTATAGATATAGATAAGTGACTACATAGAGGGCACTCTCTGTTTAGATTTAAATTGAAACCTGTCCAGATACATCAGGCCTCCATCTCAATCTAAAATGTTGGCCCCACAGCGATCAAAAGAAGATCGGTTTATCATCTTGGTCTACCTCCCACACGTGTCTCCAGTTCCTCTCGCTCTCGACCACGACACCGGCTTCCTCAAGCAAAGCGCTTCTGCCTTCCGCCAGAACTGATTATGCCACAGCCGCCGCCTGGAACCACCATAGCAAGGCCAGTGAGATATTCCACCTCATTTCCCCTCCATGCTCCCCTGCCTGCCTCCACCACCGTCCCCACTTGATCTGACGGCGGATCCGCCAGCATTGCTAATTGGTGCAGAGATGTCAGCAAGGAGTTCCCTCTCCTTCCTCTCCCCACTCCTCAGCCTCCGCCACCATCACTCCTGATCCAATCCGCCGCACGTGCAACCACGACCACTGCTAAATACTACAATCTTGTTTTTTTGAGATTTTTCTAGAATTTGTCTTATTTTCTAGCGTGTCTTATGAGACGTGGAGGCTCTGTTGGGAACCTCCACTTAGTAATAGTAAAGATGGTCCATGAGAGACAAATTACCAAATAAGAACCCATACCTGCTATCAATGTGTTTGTCCATATCTTCTGCGCAAGCTCTCTCTACAATCTCATGTTCACTTGATGAACCTCCATGTAGCCTCAGATGAAACTTATCTAAAGGAGGATATTCTTCTATGAAATCTACCAGCTGTGAGTTAAATCTAGGACATCTTGGATGCTTTCTAATGATATCCTCAAACGATAACTTGACAACCCTCCAGTCGGATTCATCAACACCTGGGAGGACCCCAATTCGTCCAACGACCTCCTGAAGGTTTAACAGGTGCTCAATGCCATCGAGCACTCGGTTAAGGTTCTTACCTCTATTGGCATTGAAACAAAGCTTGACCCTTTGAAGGTTGGGCATGGCTCCTGCCTGAAAAGCCAAACTCATCACACCACATGTGAATTTGAAATACTTGAGAGCTGGGAATGCCATGGTGCTGAAGACGACAGTTCCAGTCAGAGCTGTCCGCACATACAGTGAGAAAACTGAGAGGGAAGGTAATCCAGAGATGTTATTAATATCATTTCCCTGCAGTTCTTTAACCACTATTTTCAAAATGCAGAGTTTGTGCAGTTCACCAATCTGAGTGGGCAGTCTGTAAAACAAGCAAATTGGTGGCAACAACTCAAGTTTCTGAAGAAACATGGGAGGAGAGGAGATACCGCTCCAGATATCAAAGAAAATAGATGTTCTTAACCCATCAGGAGTCAGGGTGAGAGATTTGAGATTGCAAAATTTCCCAAGAGAAAAAACTAGGGGTATCAGCTTTCTCTTCAGATGGTCACTAGATAAAGCTGCAGAACAGGTTAGATGAAGATGCTGAAGGTTTGTCAGCTTGCTTAGGCTCCATATATTGTCTTCAGAGTTACATCTGAGGTCAAAATACAATAGTGTACTTAGAGATTTGATGTGGCCAATCCCATCTGGTAACTCTGTTGCAGCTCGGAGACCAAGATGCAACAAACCCGGAAGATGGACAATATCCAATGGAACTGCAGATAGTCTTGCATCTATTTCTAGTGTTTCCAAATAATGTAGCCCTTGCATCTGGGCTGGTAGTTCAACCATGATATCACCTGAAATCTTCAAATATCTCAGTTGAAATGATATGCAAATCCTTGAGAGGTCCAAACTCATGTGTCTGTCATGACTGCCCCAAAATTCAAGGATTAGAACTCGGAGATGATTAAATTCCACAATTGGAGGCATACACTTAAGCAATCCAAAGAAGCCAATTGATCGCAATTGTGACATTACTATTCCTTCTGGTTGCTTTGCATATTTGGCACTACTGAATCGGAAGGACAGTCGATGGGCCTTTGTAGAAAATCCTGTTATGGGTTGAGAGTAATCTATTGCAGCAACAAACTCCTCTTCCTTGGAATTATGATTAATGAGATCAAATATAATATGGTGTACTGTACATGACAACACCTCGTCATTGTAGTCAATTTTCATAGGTTGGACCATTCCCCTATTGACAAGCTCCTCAAAATAGGCCTCTGCAATTTCCTGTCTTTTCCTTCTGCTGGATTAATAAAACCTTCAGCTATCCATTGCTTCACCAGATGAACCTTCCACATTATGTAACCCTCTGGGTACATATTGAAATACAGCAGGCATGTCTTCAAACAAGAAGGAAGACTATTGTAACTAAGGTTTAGTATTTTTTTCTGGATCTCTTCAACTGTATTACTTCTAGTAAGAATGGAGCATAAACGATCATGTACATGGTACCACAGCTCTGAGTAGTCTATGCTTGCTAAAAGACCAGCTACATGGATGAGGGACAGTGGAAGACCACAACATTTTCTAATGATACCATATGAAACTTCTTTCAGTTCATCAGGGCATTGTTGTTCAGAGCCAAAAACTCGATTGAAGAATAAGTATCCAGAGTCTTGAATGCCAAGAGGTTTCATCTTCAAAATATTATCTGCCATATAACTGCAACACTTAAGAGCTACATTCATGTTTTCTGTAGTTGCTACAATTCTACTGCAATTATTGCCCTCCGGAAAAGCACCTCTTACAATGTCCCATGCTGTTTCTTCCCATAAATCATCAATTACAATGAAGTACCTGTGAAAAAATTAATATAACAAGTATGCTTTATCAGGTAAAAGTCTATAACAACCAGACGAAGATAATAAAGTATCTATATAAGAGCATCTCCAAGAGTTTCTAAAACCTACTCCCAATCTTTTTTTTGTTGGCAAGATTGGATAAAAACACTCTCCAACAACTCCCTATCTCAACTCCCAATCTTTCCGCACTTGGGAAAATCAATCCAATCGTGCGGAAATATACGTGCACGTATCGATCAGCCAATATGGAGGTGGAAGGATGAGGGGAAGAATACGAGTAAGAATAGGGTTCCAATGCATATGTACAAGAGAGAAGGAAAGTATAAAAGGAGTTGGAGTGATTTGAAAATAGTCCAGGGTTTCTGATGCAAAATTGCCTTCTGCGCCACTTTTTGGAAACGGTTGGAGGAACCCAACAAAATGTGCTCCTAACTTTTTTTTTCCACTTGGAAAACTCATTGATTACCAATTGTTTTTTTTTTTTGGAAACTCATGGAGATGCTCTAAGTATGGTGTTAGAATTTGAATAAACAAGAGAGAGCTATACAAGTTTGCTATGTCAACTCACATTCATCCATGAATCTATAAGACTTATATCTTACAACTAATAACCCATGCAGACTACAGAGGCACAAGTTGGACTAGTAGGAATCAAAAAATTAAGCTCTACACCTTAGATTACACATAGTGTAGGGTGTGGGTATGTGTTCCCGAAAAGGTAGTTCTGCATCTTAGACTGTAGGTAGTAAAACTAGTAACCGCTGTAAAATTTCACATAATAGTCGTTGCAGTTGTAAATAAGGTAGTTAGTGACACCATTTTAAATTGATCAACATGCTTCTGGTAGAGTCAAACCACAAGTATTTGGGATTGTACGATCTGAGATACAATACAAGAGGCTTCCTCTTGCAAAACTGTTAACCTACTTATAATACTATATTACTATCAAGTAATAAGTCCACTAAGCTATTGTAATAACTTTGACGCCTAAGAAAGGTTAAAAAAAAGGGGCAGACAAAATACCTCTTATCTTGGAGTTGTTCCTGAATAATGTCAATGAGGCTCTGCACCGAACTAGCAACAGAGGGTAGTTGGTGGTGCGGCTGAACTTGGGAGAGAATGCTCCCAAGAAGCCTTCTCATGTCAATCTTTCGCGAAGCATGTACAAATGCCCGCAACTCAAATTGGCCTCTAAGTTCACGGAAAATTTCTATCGCAAGAGTGGTCTTGCCAACACCTGCAGGTCCGACAATGGATACCACTTTCAGCTGCTGCTTTGCTTACCCGGTAAGCATTTCAATCAGTTTGGTCCTGGAGTCCTCGATTCCCACAAGATTGGCCGCATCTCCATACAACGCCGGAGCCCGGCGGTGCTGAGTGATCAGATTCATATGCTTCGGGCTGGAGCAACAAGCGTCAAGCTGGTACCTTTCGAGCCGCTCGCTAGCCTGCCACAGTAGATCCCTCAATTGGGCAATCTTGGCGACCCTTGTGCTGCGCCTCGGCGGCGCGGGAAGCAGAGCAATCTTCACGCGACCAACCCTATGGCTGCTGGCGGATCTTATCTTGGCACCGGCGTCTGTGCGGATCAGCATCAAGTCGTCGACAAAGTTTTCTATATGGTAAGACAGTTCTCGCGCCTCCTCCATCCAGCACTTGGCCCTGAGGCTGGGAGTTTCCAGCATCGATAGATCCACGAGGGCGGAGCTTACTTCTTCTACATCTTGCTTGAGGAGTCCGATTCCGTACTTCACCCTCTTCCGCAGCCGGAATTCGGGAGCTAGCAGCAGATCGAGCTTCCTGAGAACAGGACCCATGGCCCCCATGGTGGAACTTACTGCAGCCTCCATTTCCCCAAGTAAGAAATTTAGGGAAGAAGCAGGAATTTTATTGTGCCATCTCTAGCACTGCAAGGGCCAGGGGCCAATAAACCAAAAACTCTCTGTTGCAGTCAGAAAAAAAAAAGGGAAACTCGGTGACGGAGGAAGGTGGATGACGGCCAACTCTTGGTGTAGCAAGACAGAAGCGCTACCAGCCTGCCAACTCCTATCTATCTGCTATAAGACCGTGAGGTCATCTACCTTTCGTTTTTAGAAAAATATCGTCACATTGAGATCACGATCAATACAACCATAGCCTACCAACTGCTATCTGCTATAAGATAGTAACACACCAAGCTAGGTCATCTACCTTTCGTTTTCACATAGAAAAATATCGTCACATTGAGAACACGACCAATACAACCACAGCCTACCAACTGCTATCTGCTATAAGATGGTGACACACCAAGCTGGGTCATCTACCTTTTGTTTTCACATAGAAAAATATCGTCACATTGAGAGCACGACCAATACAACCACAGCCTGCCAACTGTTATCTGCTATAAGATGGTGACATACCAAGCTGAGTCATCTGCCTTTCGTTTTTACATAGAAAAATATCATCACATTGAGAGCACGACCAATACAACCACGCAGTGCTAGTAGTTCCGTGAAAAAGTTATAGTCGAGGTTGAGGGTTTTGTCAGTGTGCCATTATAAAAGATGGCCCTTGTCTACATGACACTAAAAAGTTCGAGCGCACTCAGATGTCACTGCTGAAACTTTTTTATCGCACGAGTCATTCCGTCCATTTTCATCTCTAACGGTGTTAAACTGCTACATGAAAAGTCTAAATTGACCTTAGGTCTGAGCACCACGCAAAAGTTTGCCGTTCCTCTTGTGCCACTGGCTTACACATCGCTTGAATTGTGGACGCCGGCTGCTGACGCGCATGCCCCCTGATTGTTTTCTCATTGTTCCACCAATGCCCAGTGTTGAAAGTTTGAAGTAGCAGCACCAAATTTAGACTGGTTCAAGATTCAACAAAAAGAAAATGCACGGAGATAGTAGTATGCCCACGCACGCTTCTTCCGCTCTGACAAGCTTAGCAAACCAATCTCCAGAATCTGGAGATGGCGGACATGGAACGACTGAAGCAAGGAAGAAGATAGCAGCAAATCGAAGCAACGAAAACAAACCTGGGGAGATGGCAGCGCGACGGCTGCCAGCGCCACTTGGTGTAGGACGCGTCGGGGCAGCCGTTCTCGGCGCAGCGGAAGCCGACGTCGAGGAACGGGCAGTCCCTGGAGTCGTAGAGCGGGTATCCGCCGCCGCCACCCTGGCCGCACCCGTCGAGGGCCCACGCGGCGTCCGCGGCATTGGAGCCGGTGGCCTCGACAGCTCCTGCGGGCCTGTTTGCTTGAACTTATGAGAGTCGGCTTATCAGCTAGAATATATAGTATTTTTCTCTCACAACAAAACAGTTTCAGCCGATTTATCAGCCGACGTCCATCCCTGCGCTGGCTTCGCCTCGCCCCTCTCTAGCACAGCGCCGTAGTCGGCCATCTCATCTCTCCGCCATCGACCCCACTCATGCCCTACGCTGGTTTTGCTCGCAGCGTCCTCCTCGGGCAAGCGCGGGCCCAACACTGCCCGACGCGCGCCCAGCCACCGCCACTCGGGCGAGCGCACGGCGAGCACGGAGAGGGGCGGTGCGGACGTGCAGATGGATCGGGAGAGAGAGAGAGGGGATATTCTGGACATCTTTACTGGCGGGCCCACGTGTCAGGGCAGCTAAATGGTGAAAACTGGATGGAATGACGTGGACGATAGAAAATTTCCGGCTAGTGGCAAATGGGTGCCCTCAAACTTTTTAGTGGCATGTAAACAATGATAATCTTTTATAATGGCACACGGGTAAAACCCTCTAGAACTTTAAGGCAACTAAGCACGCATTGACCCAATTCAGTGTTGGATTTTATTAGGCTTGACCTAATTTTATTCGATTAAAATCAAATAAATCCTAAGGCTCTGATTAAATGCTAGATGGTAGTGTTTGGTTCAGCTCTGTAAGTGGTAAGATAAATGGGATCAGATTGCAGGGCTAATGCTTACACTGTAATGGAAAGTGGAGATTGTTTGTTTACTCGTCGTAGTGGTTTCAATTGCCATCCATGTGTTTGGTTTGGAACAAGATAATAGAAGAATCAGAACCTAAACTTGCCACGCTTGGAGCGGCTTTGCCCGCCGTAAAGGTGTGCGTGGCTCATGACGGAATCCCTCGCAGCAAAAACACGAAGCCGAGGAGGATCAGAATAGGAAGCCAAGACAGAGCACTAGGGTTTGAAACTGGTGCTGATGGCCCCAAATCGCAGAGAAGATGAAGAGGAGGGAGAGGCTCGCTGAAACTATGGATTCGATGGCAAGCAGAGAATGGAGGTGCACACACATCTGGGTTGAGGAGGACGCCATGAAGACAAATCCTCCCTATGGTAGGGTCGGCGGCGAAGCGACGAAGACGTGTTGGAGACATGGCGGCGCATGCACGAGAGCGCGAGCGTCTTCCGGTGGTTCGGGTGGAGATTTTTCTTGCGATTACGCGAGGGGGTCGGATACCGCTAGAAGACGAGCAATATCGCCATTGTACTGGGCCGCATCCGTTAATGTCGTGATTTGTTACAGACATGCGTAACCAAATGGGAAGCAGTGGGTCAGTTTGCGCTGTGAACCGATTGCGGGCCTAAAAGCCCTAACCAAACAACACCGGAGTCTTAGTCCCACGGGGGGAATTGACTAACGGTCAAATCAAGTTAAATGGGTGATTGGTTTACATCTGTTGTGAAGTTAAGAGAAGCAAAAGATGTGCCACACGTGCGTGCATGACATGGTGCGGGGCGGGTTGGTTTGCCACTTGAGTTGATTAATGGTGATTTGATTGCGTGCAACCCCATGACTCTTGATGACTTTTCCAGATGGAATTTTGAGATGTTTGTCAGTCGGAGTTAGAGGTTCATCGCCAGCAAAGACAGCATAAGCTAGAGAATCAAACATGATATTCACTCTGACGGTGGAATTGTAAAGAGAGTTTAAAGCGGTGTTGTTCATGAAACAACAGATGGTTGTGGAGGGAGAAAATGATCTGAATTACTTTGGACAAAGTTTCAGCCTCCTTAAGCCACTCGTTGCTCATGATGGACGTTAGCTCCTGGATCATCTCCTTGAGATGGTTTGGAGAATGAAGGTTTGAAGCCGATGATGCAGAAGATCTCTTTTGTATAGGGAAGTCGAGGTGTTTCCTAAATCAAAATCAAAGAAAAGATCATCCTTGATTTCAAAAGGGAATTCCAAAGGTTGAATTTCTTCTTTCTTTGGAGTTGGGATTTGGGGTATTGGTGGTTTGGCAATGATAGCAAAATCTTGGGATTGGAGTGGTGGTGATTCAGCTATTTGGAATTCTTCTTACTTGGGGGATGATTCCTCTTCTTCCTTAGGGAGTTCATCATGAATGCCGGTGTAAGGAGTGTTTTCAAGGATTTTATCAAGAATAGTTCACCCTTCACTAGCAGATAAATGAAGGAAAGTTCCTCCAAAGGCTATATCAAGAAATTGTGTAGAATTCTTGCTAAGACCCAAATATGAATGTTGTAAGAGTATTGGATCAGGTATAGCAAGATCTGGGCCTGAAGAGACAAGATCGATAAAACGGGCCCATGATGTACCTAGAGGTTCATTCTCTTTTTGCTTGAAGGTTAGGACCTTCATTCGACGATGAACAACTCGAGAGATAGGAAAGAAGGATAGACAGAATTTGGTTTACAAATCTTCCCACTCTCCTTGTACACTCCCTACATTACGCGCAAATCAATGTTTAGCTAATCCCGTCAAAGAGAATGAAAATAGCTTTCATTTCAGGGTTTCTTGTGACATGCCATCAATATGAAGGCATGAACACATCTGCTCAAATTCCTGTAAATGGGTGTAGGGGTTTTCATCTTCTTCCCAAGCAAATGATTGCTCCCAAACTATGGCTATGAAATAAGGACAAAGCTCATAGCCAAGTGTATGAATGGGTTTGATGATTGTGGTGGCTCCATACTAGCGACCTTTGGAGCGACAAATTGATAGAGGAGTTGAGTCCAAGGTATAAAGGATAAACAAAAAAGATAAATGGATGACTCAATTCTATGTTAAGAACAATTACCGTTCCTAGCAATGGCACCAGAAAGCTTGTTGACACTAAGGTGGCACACAGAATAAACCGCAAGAACACAACTGTCAATGTAGCTTTCACCTAGGAGTATTCCAAGCTATCGACCTCCACTGGAACGTGAAGTGAGCTTAACAAAGAACTAAGTTCGTCCTAGGATGAGACAAGGGTATATGATAGATTGGGTAAAGAGGATTTTTATAATTATGAAACTAGAAAGGTAAGATAGATACAAAGGTTGTTCACTTCGGGTCACTAGGCCACTTAGCAATAGAAAGGGGATGAGAAGGGTGCTAAACCACCTAGTAGAGAATACCTACGTTTCAAGAGCTTACCCGAATGGGTGGAATACAGAGATCAGATATGGCCATCACCACATGCTGACTACCACAAACAAATCATGGGTTAAGCTGTAGACACAGGTAAACGTATAACCTAGACATCATGTCTACACTATATCTTACTACTCCAGTCCGAATCCCGATGAAATTGATTAGAGTACTAGGTTAAGGGCGGTGAACCAATGAACAACAGAAGTAAATACTTTACCAGAATTATGGATCAAATACCATAACGAATCTCGGATGCTTACTTATAGACAAGCCCACATTCGCCGAGGTACAGATTGGAGAAGACACCAGACAGGCCCGACCCTTCTCCACACTCTCCTCGCTCTCTCCTTATTGTCTATGCTACTACTAGAGTATGGCTTTGCCTACGTGTATAATGAGTAGCTTCTCCTTGGCGTCTTGAGAGTGAGGGGGTACTACCCCTTTTTATAGTAGTGGAGTGGCTAAGT